GCCTGCCTCAGCCTCAGCCTGCATCAGCCTCAGCCTCAGCCTCAGCCTGCCTCAGCATCAGCCTGCCTCAGCCTCAGCCTCAGCCTGCCTCAGCCTCAGCCTCAGCCTGCTACAGCCTCAGCCTCAGTCTGCCTTCAGCCTCGGCCTCAGCCTCAGCCTGCCTCAGCCTCAGCCTGCCTCAGCCTCAGCCTCAGCCTGCCTCAGCATTCAAAATGTGGCCCGGGAATGGAGTTCTGGGAACTCGAAGAACACGAAGTGGCCTACAGTTGGCTCCGGGCATTCAAAATCATGCCCAGGAATGGAGTTCTGGGAACTCGAAGACCACGAAGTGGCCTACAGTGGGCTCCGGGCATTCAAAATGTGGCCCGGGAATGGAGTTCTGGGAACTCGAAGAGCACGAAATGGCCTACAGTTGGCTTCGGGCATTCAGAATGTGGCCCGGGAATGGAGTTCTGGGAAGTCGAAGAGCACGAAATGGCCTACAATTGGCTCCGGGCATCCAAAATGTGGCCCGGGAATGGCGTTCTGGGAAGTCGAAGAGCACCAAGTGTGTGACTGTTGCGTCCGGTTATTCAGAATGTGGCCTGGGAATGGGGTTCTGAGAGGTCGACGAGCACGAAATGTGTGACTGTTGGTGAAAAACGAACCCGGCACAGGCCCGGCACCCTGCTGGCCGGCAACTCCCAACGCCTGCCCGGACCCCCCTGTGGAGTGATCTGTGAGCTCTTTTGAGTCAACTAGAAACCTATCAGTCTACGCTGTTAGGTAACAATGCCATCACCGAAAGGCTTACTGAGGATGTCTGTCACGTTGATCGCTGCTCGGCGAAAGCCTTCACGGAACGCACCGACCTCGCATGCACAGACAATGTCAGCATCAGCGTTCTGCACTATCGTGGCGCACACCCTTCCGAAGTTAGCGCAGTGAGTGGCCGCCTGCTTACCAGTCATCATGCCCTGCTCGAACCCGAAATTGAAGGAGGCGACCGTGAAAGACGCAGGCTGCGGAGCGCCAGGACCAGGCGTTTGTCGACCTTCCTCCGCAGGCTGAGAAGCAACGCGAGGCGGCGACACTTCGGACGAGCCTCGCGGAGCAGAGGCTGCGGATGAACGTTCCATATAGCGGTACGGCCAGGGGAACGCCATTGCAATCGAAACTCTGGTGACGAGGCACGTTGAGTGAAATGGACTGCAGTGTCACTAGCAACTCCTGAACCAAGCACGGCTGGCGCGGAAGGAATATAAAATGTGGCCCGAGACTAACCTAGTGAAAACTCAGAGAAATCAGTGTGTGTGACGGTTGTGTCAGGGAATTGAAAGTTGAGATGTGACAGGTCGACAAGGACACTGTGTATGAGTGTTGCATGATAGTGAGAGAACGAGTGTTGCCCAGGAGTGTCGCCCAGATATGAAGTTCTGAGAGGTCACAGAGCACAAAGTGTGTGACTGTCGCGTGGGATTACTCTGAATGTATCCCGGGATTGCCGTTCCAGACAGCCAGATAGCCCGGCGTGTATACCTGTTGTGTGCGATTTTTCCAAATGTAGCCTGGGAATGGCGTTCTGGGAGGTCTCGGAGCACGAAGTGTGTGACTCTTGCATCCTGTTATTCCGAATGTGGCCTGGGAATGGGGTTCTGGGATGCCAAAGAGCTCGAAATGTATGACTGTTGCATCCCGTTAATCAGAATGCGGCCCGGGAATGGAGTTCTGGGGTGTCAAGTACGAGGAATTGTATAACTGTTGCGTCCGGCTATTCCGAATGTGGCCCGGGAATGGCGTTCTGGGAGGTCAAGGAGCACCAAGTGTGTGACTGTTGCATCCGGTTATTCAGAATGTGGCCTGGGAATGGGGTTCTGAGAGGTCGACGAGCACGAAGTGTGTGACTGTTGGTGAAAAACGAGCCCGGCACAGGCCCGGCACCCTGCCGGCCGGCAACTCCCAACGCCTGCCCGGACCCCCCTGTGGAGTGATCTGTGAGCTCTTTTGAGTCAACTAGAAACCTATCAGTCTACGCTGTTAGGTAATAATTCCCAATATTTTTCTATATTTTCTTAATTTTTGTCTTCCCCCCCACTTCCCATATTTTCCTATATTTTCCGGGGAATCGACGATTAATTGTGTCTGTGTGTTTTTTCCCCTCCTGACTATTCCGTCGGCCCCGCACGGACGCACGGGGGAGTGGGCAGCAGAAGACACGGGGCGGAGGGAGACGCGAACCGAGTGAGAACGAGACGAGACAGCGCTCTCTCTCTCTCTCTCTCGGACGTTGCTGTCTAGAGGCTGGGCCAAGGCGTACGGTGGAGCGCCCGGTCGTCAGCGGCCGCACCCCTGCTTACTTCCGCTGAGAGGGCGGTGCAGCTCGCAAGTGGGATCTGGCGTTCAAGGCAGGGGCGGCTTGCTGAAGGCATCTGCGTTCGTGCACGTTTCACGTATTGCTCACGCGCTGTGGCCGACGCCAGGCTGTTATTCTTCTTTTTCGTCATATTGTTCTTCATAGTATTACTAGTATTGCTATTGTTAATGTTGTCATTGTTAGTTGTGTTAGTGTTGTTGTCATTGTTGGTGCTATGAATATTTTCAGAATTGACATTACGATGAGCATTAGCAATGTTATTACCATTCGTTTTATTATTCGTAGTATTACATATACGGCTACTGCTGCTACTACTACTACTACTACTACTACTACTACTACTACGACTACTACTATTACTACTACTACTACTACTACTACTACTACTACTACTACTACTACTACTACTACTACTACTACTACTACTACTACGACTACGACTACGCACTACGAACTACCGTACTACGACTACGACTACGACTACGACTACTACACGACGACTAACGACTACCACTACTACTACTACTACTACTACTACTACTACTAACTACTACTACTACTACTACTACTACTACTACTACTACGACTACTACTTACTACGACTACTACTACTACTACTACTACTACTACTACTACTACTACTACTACTACTACTACTACTACTACTACTACTACTACTACTACTACTACTACTACTGCTTCCACGTGTATGACTAGTATTAACAAGATTATGACTAGTGGCATCAGTATTAAACTTATTAGTCGTATAACTTTTTTGCTATACAGATTACACATATGATCATTATTATCATTATTAGTCGTAGTCTCTGATTCGTGTGTTTCTTCTTCTTCTGGGTCAACTCATTCTTATGAATATGCTTCGTATGACTATTATTACTATTATCAGTATCATTGTTATTATTCGTATTCATATTATACTTTTTAATGCTTACTTTATTATGTTCTTTTCTTCTTCGGGAAGGAGGAGAGGCAGACGCCGGCGGGCGCGGCAATTCACCGAGAGGTGGAGAAGCCTGACCAGCCTGGGTGACGGGACACGCACTCGGCCCCGCCCCGAAGGAACGAGGCTCGGGAGCCCAGCCTCCAGTCGCTGCAAAGGGAACCGCCGGCGCTGCGGCCCAGTCGCTCCAAGGGCCCCGCGCCTCGAAACCTTGCACAGAGAACCGCCTCCAGTCGCTGCCGAGGGGGAAGGTCGACGGAGGTGCCGTCTGCCAGCGAAGGGAACAGGTGGGCAGGCCAGGGCCTGGGGCATTCGAGCAAACTTGTCTGTGGAAGTGACAATATATAGTGATGCAAAGAGAGAGAGAGAGAGAGAGAGAGAGAGAGAGAGAGAGGGAGAAACAGAAAGAAAGAGAGGGAGAGACAGGGAAAGAGAGAGAGAGAGAGAAACAGAGAGAGAGAGAGAGAGAGCGCGCGCGAGCGTGAGAGGCACGCAAGGCAACAACAATCACAGCCCGCGATGGCTTCTTGAAAAAATCTGGCCTGGAACCAGGTCCCGACATAGACTGGTTGTCCCACTCGCCGCCGGCCAGCTTCCTGAACTTCCTGAGGGCGTCCTTGGGCACCTGGGCCTGCTGCAGCGCCTGCGCCTGCTGCAGCGCCTGGGGATGTCAGGTGAGGGGTTGTGGAGCGGTGGGATGAGGAGGAGCGGAGCGAGGGGGGTACCTCCTCCCTCCATAAAAAAGGAAAATAAGACCATCCCTCCCTCCTAATCCCACCCTCCCTACCCTCCCTCCTCCCTCCCACCCGCCCACTCCCTCCTCCATCCTCCTCCTCCTCCTCCCCTCCCCTCCTCCTCCTCCTCCTCCTCCTCCTCCTCCTCCTCCCTCCTCGCCACCCTCCTCCACCTCTCCTCCTCCTCCTCCTCCTCCACCTTCCTCCTCCTCCTCCTCCCCTCCTCCTCCTCCTCTCCTCCTCCTCCTCCTCCTTCCTCCTCCTCCTCCACCTCCTCCTCACCTCCTCCTCCTCTAAACCTTTCTAGCCTCCCTCCCAGCCTGTGCCCTCCTCCGCCTCCTCCCTCTCCATCCTCCTCCTCCTCCCCTGGCCTCCTCCTCCTCCCACTCCTCCACCTCCCTCCTCCTCTCCTCCTCCTCCTCCCCTCCCTCCCCTTCCCTCCTCCTCCTCCTCCTCCTACCTCACGTCCTCCCTCCTCCATCCCTCCTCCTCCTCCTACTCCACCTCCTCCTCCTCCTCCTCCAGGGGGGGGGGGGGGGGCGGGAGAGAGGGTCGGGCGAGGGTGGGTGGGCGAGAGGAGCGGAGCGAGTGCGGGAGGGGTGAGAACCAGGGCGGGCACCGTCGGAGGGAGGGGGTCGGCGAGGGGAGGGGTGCAAGGGGAACGGGGGGAGGGGGGAGGGGGGAAGGGGAACGGGGGGAAGGAGACGGAAGGGGGTAAGGAAGGAAAGGAAAAGGGGGAAAGGGAAGTGGGGGAAGGGGAGGAGTGGGGGAGGGGTGGAAAGGGAAGAGGGGAAATGGGGGAGGGGGAAGGCGGCATGATGGCACCAATGGAATGGCACTCTGCCATCGGGAGTTGTGTGTGCTACATAAAGTAGGATCGCAATGCCTCTTCGACGATTATGGGACTGCATGTGATCCTAATCTTCGCCAAGGCCTAGGGTGGGGGGGGCCGGGCTGGGAAGAAAACGACTGGAGAGCGAACGACTATGGAGTGGACAGAGGGTCTCAAGGCGCGCCCACGGCGAGGGCGACGTCACCAGAGAGCTACTGGACTTGCCGACGTGCCGCCGCAGGTCCCCGGAGGCCGCGTGGAGCAGATTGCGGAGCCGCGAAGTTAAAGGGGCCCAAGGAAACACAAATAAATACACACAAATAAAAGGATTACATTTTTTCCCCATATTTTTTCTGGATTTTTGTCTTCCCCCCCACTTCCCATATTTTCCCATATTTTCTTCGGAACCGATGATTAATGGTGTCTGTGTATTTTTTTCCCTCCTGAAGATTGCGGAGCCGCGAAGTGCAACCTGCAATGCTGAAGATGGGAGCCGCCCCCTTCCCCCGGATAGCGGTCCAGCGGGTGGCGTCGCCGTGCAGGCCCACCAGGAAGGAAGGCTCTCCTTCAGCCCGTCGTGGACTGGAGCGCCAGCCAAGCAGGCCGAGAGAGAGAAGCCTGCCGGGCGGCCCAGGCCGGCCCAAAATGTGGTGAGGGACGCCGGCCGGGTCCCTGCACACGTGGCGTCGTTTGACGCGGAGCCACCAATGGACCACCAGAGGTCACATGCGCGGGGCTCGGTGTCGAATCTCGGGCTTCTGGACCCAGAAGCCCGGCATGTAGGGCCACGAGCGTCTTTTGCCCGTGCTGGGCCCCTGGAAGTCCAGAGGCCTCCCGGGGGCCTCGGCGGGGAGGCCTCCGTGGAGAGCTCCAGAGCAAGGGCCTGCAGAGACCGTCTGACGTGCCCAGGCCGCTCTCGGATTCACTGGTGCCCAGACCGCATGCGGCGGTCCATGTTCTCGACGTCGAGGGCGGTCAGTGTGAGGGGTGAGGCCAGGGCCAGAGCGCATCTGCGCTTTTGGAGTACCATGTGGGACCTGCTTTAGAATAGGAACATTCGACGGATCTCTAAGACCTCGTACTGCGCCTAATGCAGCGGCCGCGTTGTATACAAACGTGTCCACCCTGAGTGTGCCTGTATACGTAACGGCACCCAGTGGGTCTATAGACGCTTGTGGCCAGGAAGTGGGAACAGTATTTGGCACACCTATGCCCCAGACATCGGTCTTCTTGAAGCAGGTCGGCTTGGCCCTCCAACTGTGCCTCACCGACAAGCAACCAGGCTGCCGCCGTTAGGACATCTTGTATGAACGCGTGGACTTGAATGAGCTCGCAGAAAGCGCCACTACGCGGCACCACACGTCGCGAGGAGCGCCGATCCATCCAAGGAGATCAGATGCGGAACGACGAGTTCCTGCGCGAACTCTTGCGAGAACCCCTTATTGAGCTGCTGCTGAGGTGATGGCCAAGCGGGTGCGGGAAGCACGTCTCGCGTGCGCTTCGCTCCCTCGTGCCAGACGAAGAGCAGATGTGCCTCGAACCTGGGTCGCGGTGCTGCTGACACAGACTGCCAGCACAGACACCAAAGGCCCCCTATGCTCCCTCTCTTGGAGACTTGCGTCTGCCTGCGGGCGGCATCGGATTCGGCGCGAGGTGCGCTTAAGCTCGTCGCTGCTGTCCCCGGTATCGTACCGCGTATCGTCCACCCAGCGTCCATTGGTCTTGCAGACAAGGGCCGATCGGAGCCTCTGACGGACACACGCGCAGTGCGCCTGGGCGCACGCAAGGCTGGGCAACGCCACGAGAAGAGGACGAGACGAGACGAGACGCTGCTGCACGCACCATGGCCCGTGGCCCCTCAAGTGAACCAGCACTGGTATCTGCATTGTTTTGGGGGGTCGGGGCAATCGCGCTGCCACACACACCAATTTGGCACTTTCAGTCTCCACCGTCGTTGAACATCGCCGCCATTCATTCGAGAAGCCGCTATGACTTGCACGCGTGGCATCGTACCAGCAAGATTTCCCGCTGATATCCCATGCTATGTTTTGGAGGAAAGAGACGAAGAGAGATGAGGAGAAGGCAAAGAGGAGGGAGCAGCACCCGCAACCGCTTGTGAGCGACGGGGTCCCGATGCTGTGCTAAAAAGACACCGAATCGGCCGCGGCGGCCGCGTCCTTCCACCCCTGTGTTGTGGCACTCCAGAGGGCGCCCTTTATCACAGATCGATCGACTCGGCTGCACATTCGGATCGATCGGGCTGAGCCCAACCCGCGGATCAGAGGAGTCAGCCTTCGGGGTGCGCAGTGGCAACGATCCATCATTGCCGCGCACAGGTGTATCAACGGATCGCGGCTCTGCATCCTCCTCGTGCTTCTCGTCCTCGTCCTCGTCCCCGTCCTCGCCCTCGCCCTCCTCCTCCTCCTCCTCCTCCTCCTCCTCCTCCTCCTCCTCCTCCTCCTCCTCCTCCTCTCCCCCCCTTCCCGTCCAGGAGGCAAGGGCGGCATTCTTCGTCACCCGCTGCGCCAAAGATGGAGCACACGAAGCAAGCGCCAGGCGGGCAAGCCTTTGGATGGCCGCCATGACCCGCCCGACAGGAAGTACGGTGACGGTTGAAGTGCGGCGTGCTGTCCGGGGTGGTCTCGCCCCCTTTCAAGGGGTGACCGAGGGGCTCAGCGAACGATCGGCCATAAGGCTTGGAAGTGCCGAGCAACATCATAAACATTGTAGAAAACAATCGGCCAAAAGGCTTGAAGATGCCGAGCAACAGCATAAACCTTTCAGAAAACAGTCGACAAAAAGGCTTGGAGATGCCAAGCAACGGCATAAACCTTTCCTTGTTGAAAATTCCACGGACTTCTTGCACCGGCGCTGGAACCCCATAACCGGTGCGCGGAACGTGCCAAGGGAGGGGCGGCGCCGGAAGTGCCGCCCAAGGGGGTGCAGAGCCCAAGAGATCCGTGCGAACCTTTGAACATTTCATGTTTATGCCGTTTCTTCAACCGCAAGCAGAACCCGCATTGTTTGGCCACTGACTGTGTGAATTGTGAATTTCGGCGGCGAGCCCGAGGGGAAGTGAGAAGGGGCGGGCCTTCTCAGAAGGCTCGGAGGCTTGGAAGTCCCCCAGCCCTCCGGGAGGTTCTCCAGGCCTTCCCCGAGGACGCGGCAGACTCCTCAGAAGGCCGGGGAGGGCTTCTGAGGAGCCCCGTCGCCTTCTGAGAAGGCTTCTCCTCCGCACTTGCCCCCCTCGCTCGCCGCCGAGAGTCGCTTCTGCCGGGGGGGCGGGGGGCATGGCCCGAAGAGGGGCGGGGCCACCGCGGCGGCACGGACAGGGCGGGCGGCGCGCCCCGCCCCAAGCGGGCTTGGGCCGCAATGCCCTGGGAGCTGGGCCCTCTCAACTCTCCCATGGGGGCAGCGGGGCAGATGCGAAGCGAGCGGGCACACAGTGGAGGCCAGTCCACAAGAAACCTCCCGCGAGAAACCCGACCCTGAGAGCTCAGGACGTCCATCGATCGTTGGTCCGGGAACGTCACGCCTTCCGTGGCCAAACCACTGAAGCCCAAGAAACCCAGGGCACCCTGTTGGCAAGCAGGGTGTTTCTCGACATGGGTCTCCACTGTAGACGAAAGACCCTGTGCAGGAGTGACCTTTGGTGCGCGGCTTCCTGGGGCCACGGGGGGGCCGGACCAGAGCGCGCAGGCCAATGCTGGGGCCACACCTGCGGGCCGGCACCACAGGCCACGGGCCACTCCTGCGAGAGGCCACCCTTACGTTGGGAGGCAACTACTGGGAGGCTTCCGTCGGAAAGATTGAAAAGGATGAAGCCCCATTGGGGGGCTGTTACGCTGGAGTGGGCCTCGGATTAAGCCGGATCAAGCAGGGTTAAGCGGGATTAAGCTGGACTGCGCAGGATTGAGCGGGATTAAGCCGGATGTCGGACCAGGGCAAAATCAGAATTTGACCTCCCAAGACTTCCATCCGAACGTGCGCATGCGGCCGGACCTGGGACAAAACAAACATCCTTCAAGAGCACGGGACCCGCCGCCGGCCAAGCTATTCGAGGGCCGCCCTCCCCCAGGATGCGGATGCGGATGCGGACGCAGGGATCCGGGGGCCAACCTCCTCGAGGGGACTTTGCGACGCCCCCCAGCCCGGTGGAGGCGAGGACGGCCAGGCAGATCGGCGATTCGCACGCCCCCCGAGGCGGGGGCGGCTCCAGCGCGGGCGATGCGCAGCCACGGCTGTGCCCCCGCCAGTGGGCAGCGACGGCTGCGGGGCGGACGACGCTCGCCCGCATGTGAGCCCCAATTGCCCCTGCAGATCAGGCTTCTGAGGCGTCGACGGGGGGTCAAGACCTGAAGCATGTCTGCAGCTGGGCGAACTGAAGGGGCCCTGGGACACACAAGTAAATACACACAAATAAACAGATTCCTAATATGTTCCCATATCTTCTGGTTTTTTGTCTTCCCCCCCCACTTCCCATATTTTCCCATACTTTCTGCGGAATCGACGATTAATTGTGTCTGTGTTTTTTCCCCTCCCGACGAACACCCGCAAGGGTCTCCGATAACCCCAGCGTCGGTCGGATCCGCAGGGGTGGGCTCGCCCCTTGGCCGTCGGGGTAGACGGCGCTCGCCACTGCGTGGGCGGGCCACGCCTGCCGAGAGCCCCGAGGCGCCCCCACCTCACGGCCCAACGGGAGCTCGTCCGAGCGGCTGCCCACGACAAGAAGAAGTGAGGCCCTGCCTTGCCCGGGGGGTGTGCAAAAAGGGGGGGGGATCGCAAGTCATGGCCCGAGGGGCGTGCGCGGCCCCAGGGGGCCAAATGATGTACGGTCGAGGCGTTGACCTAAGGAACCCGAAATAAGGAACGAGGCCCCCTTTTCCCAGAACTTCAACCTCGATTTCCTCTGGAAAACCCTGGAAAACCCGAGGCAAGCTGTGAAACAATCAAGGAACACGGAGCCCCTCCCCAGCGAAAAGGGTTCCTTCTTCAGCGCCCCGACTGTATTGAAATCCGCCGACCCGCACTTGCTGGGGATGAAAGGGCATGTGGGACATTCGGCTGTCCACCTCCCCCCCTCCCCTGTGGCCAAAATGCCGTTCGAGGGGGAAGAGGGAGGGCACGAGCTCGTCAACGGGCCTCCAGAGACTCCAAGAAAAACCAAGAGGGCAGACAGAGCGCCAAGACGGTCGAAAAGAGCGCCGAGACGGCCCAGTGGCCCCACGACGACCCAAGAGGACTTCAAGACTGCCTCAAGACCCCTTAGACTGCCCATAATGTTCCCAGAGGACCGCCGAGAAGGCCCCACGAGGCAAACGTGGTCCCATTCCCTTATTTAAAGCGCACTCGCCTTTTTGGTCTTGACAGCTTCTGAGGGACCCCCAAGATGGTCACAAGACGGCCGAGGAGGCCCCCAAGAGGGCCCCAAGACGGCGTCGTCGCCGTCGTCGCCGTCGCCGCCGTCGCCGTCGTCGTCGTCGTCGTCGTCGTCGTCGTCGTCGTCGTCGTCGTCGTCGTCGTCGCCGTCGTCGTCGTCGTCGTCGCGTCGTCGTCGTCGTCGCCGTCGTCGCCATCGCCGTCGCCGCCGTCGTCGTCGTCGTCGTCGTCGTCGTCGTCGTCGTCGTCGTCGGGGCTGGCCCGACGGGGGCCGGGCCCCGCGCCCCGAGGCCGCGGCGGTCGCTGTCTGGGGCACCGCCCTCCGCCGCCGCCGGCTGCCGCGGCTCCTCCTGGCGCGACGCGGCGCGCGCGAAGCGCGCGCTCCTCCTCCTCTTCTTCCTCCTCCTCCTCCTCCTCCTCCTCCTCCTCCTCCTCCTCCTCCTCCTCCTTTTCCCTCTCCCCCCCATCCACCTCCCTCGGGCCCGAGCGCGGGGAGAGCATGTTGGGACGACGAAATGTTGCAAGTTTTTCGCCGTGTACCCCAAGGGGTCGCTGTGCCCCAGAACCAGGGAGCGCCTCTTGCTGGAGCACGCACGTGCGCAGCGCTGGCGACAAGGACTTTTCGAGTGCTGGGAGCTGGGGGCTGATGAGGTGCATGATTGTTGGATGCCGTGCGCTTCGAGTCATATGAAAGTCTGTGCTTCTGACGGTGGGACGACGAAATGTTGCAAGTTGTTCCTGGCCGCACACGGCTGCACCTACATTGCGACGCCACCTCGACGAAGCGCCCCCGCCCCCCGCATTTCAAGGTTGGCATCGAGCGAGCACCCCAAGTCCGGGAGGACAAAACAATGCAAGTCAACACTGGAATACGGGGGAAGGGGGAGTTCCTCGGAGATCGATGGAATATGATCAAAGCTGACACGCTGTTTCTCGGAACGATGACATAACTTGCGATATCTTGTCCGCCCACTGGAGCGACGAGAACGACTGCGTACCCTGCGCACCCCCACTCGAAGCCCCCGACTTCGGGTTGGGGGCCGTATGGGCTCCACGTCAGGTCCTTTCGATGCTCTCGGACGCGGCCCTCAGTGGGAACGGAGGGCAGCTTGGGGCCTTCGGGTGGGGTCGGGGTGGTTTTGGCTGCTAGCGCGGCACGCCATGTTGGAAAAGGGCGCCTACGCGCGATCCCGCGCGGGCAGATTACAGTCAATCCGTATCATAAGGATGCGCGGTAAGGATGCAATGGCCCTGGAGGGCCCCGTCGGCACTTTTCGAACGAGGCTGGCCAGCGAGAGTCGCTGAGGATGGGCCGACGGGGCAAGGATGCAAGGGTACCCTTGGGAAGGTTGCCCATCCTCAATTCTTATGCGGGTTGACTGTACGCGCCAACGTGGGTGAAAACGACCCCGCTTTTCCCGCGTCGCTCACGCGGGCAAGTCGGCCCCGCGCCGGCTGGCGGGGCGGAGCGGCCTGGGCGTGTGGAGGGCACTGGCGCAGAGCAAGACTCTGCCCTGCCGTCCACTCCCCTCCCGTCCTCTGCTCTCCGCTCCTATCCCTCCTCCTCCTCCTCCTCCTCCTCCTCCTCCTCCTCCTCCTCATCGCCTGCTCCACCTCCTCCTTCATCACTTCTCATCCTCCTCCTCCTCCTCATCGCCTCGTCCGTCCTCCCTCCTCTCTGTCAGCAGGGGGGCGATGCGTCGCGCGCACATCCCTCGCAGAGGAGCATCCGCCGACCCCCCGGCGGCGTGTGCGAGGGGCTTTTCCGTGTTCGAGGCGAGCTCTTCCGTTGGGGTCGTCGTCTCCGTCCTCCTCTGTTCCATTTGCCTGGGCCCTCTTCCTCATACGCGCCGTCCAGCGCAAAATCGAGCAGCATAGGAGCGGAATCGAAGGGAAGGAATGGAATCGAAGGGAAGCCCCTTCCCCTTGATCCATTCCCCACGCCGGGGGCTCCCAGGAGGCCCCAAGAAGCCCACAAGAGGCCCCCAGGACATCCGAAAAAGCCCCCAGAGGCTCTCAAAAGACCCCAAAATTCCTCCCCAACGGCCCCAGCGAGCCTGAGCCTTCCCAAGAGGCTCCAAGAAGCATCCCTGAGGTACTCGGGCCCACGTCAGCGTCGTCGTCGTCGTCGTCGTCGCCGCCACCGCCGCCGTCGTCGTCGGCGTCCCCCTTCAGGGTCGGCGGCACCGGCCGAAAGACCTTCGCAGTATCAAGACAGCCACGCCCGCCATGCAATCCCGCCCACTGCTGCTGCTGCTGCTGCCCACTTCTGGCATATCCTCGCTCCCTCCATCTCTCCCCTCCCTTCAACCTCCCCCTCCCCTCCCCTCCCAGCCCCTCCCCTCCCGCCCTCCCTCCCTCTCTCACTCCCCCCCACCTCCACCTTAACCCCTCTCTCGTCCGTCCTCCCTCCATTCCCCTCAGGGACAACGTTAGGGGGGACCAGCACAGCGTGGGAAACAACGACCTGCAATCGGCGATACATTGCCGACAGAATCGGTGATACAGTCGGGGCCCTGAAGAAGGAACCCTTTTCGTTGGGGAGGGGCTCCGCGTTCCTTAAGTGTTTCACAGCTTGCATCAGGTTTTACTTATGTTTCGGATAGGAAATCGAAGTTGAACTTATGGTAAAAGGGGCCTCGTTCCTTATTTAGGGTTCCTTAGGTCAACGCCCCGACTGTAGGCCCCTGACAGCGAGCCCGCGCGCTCCTGGGCGTGGCGGGCCATCGAGCCCCTTATCGACGAGGAGTGGGCGACATTAGGGGTCGATGCGCCCCCTCCCCCCGCCCCTGAGCCGATCCCCCCCCCCTACGTCGTCCCTGATCCCCTGCCCTCTCCTCCTCCTCCTCCTCCTCCTCCTCCTCCTCCTCCTCCTCCTCCTTCCTCCTCCTCCTCCTCCTCCTCCTCCTCCTCCTCACCTCCTCCCTCCCCTCTCCCTCCTCCCTCCTCCTCCTCCTCCCTTCCCCTCCTCCTCCCTCCTCCCTCCTCCCTCCTCCCTCCTCCTCCCTCCTCCCTCCTCCTCACTCCACCTCCTCTCCTCCTCCTCCTCCTCCTCCTCCTCCTCCCTCCTCCTCCTCCTCCTC